AATAATTACATAATCATCATAATTATTTTTTTCTTAAAGCTCAACTAAAGTACTGGCATCTAATATAGACATATTTGTATACTCCACTTTGAAAACTCTGCATTACATTTCTACATTTCATTGGTCATCTCCTCTATACGAGAACAATCCTTGAGGGAAGCTATCGTGGCAGAGGAAAGAACACCCATGCAGAGAAGAAGAAAGTTCAAAAACAAGGGCACTCCAATATATATATATATATATATATATATATATATCTTATTCAAACCTAAGGGTATAAGCAGAAATATACAGAAGACGCAATTAGTTTGAAAATTCAAATACTCAAACAAGGAGCGACCATTTTTAAAATGAAAAGTAAATGAGCAACATACTGAGTACTCCTGATCCTTTTAGCTATGATATGATAAAGACATCATTTCTATATCAAATACAATTATAATATATTGATCAAGAAATACAAAAAATCAAACTAAGATAAAAACTAAGTGGTTATTGGATGTCACATCATCATTTGCCCCCATTGTATAAGGTTCATTAGCAATGCCCAAAATGTGATTAGCATCCTCCCACTCTTGGTCTAGCACCCTTATTCACCAAGATCTTTGTATAAAAGCCCACCGCTTGTTCATAATAATAATTCAAGAGATTTGATATAGTGGAGCCTATGTAAGAGAGTCGAAGGGTTCATCTATAGTTAGCCTACTCTCAAGCTGAATTTCTAAATTGCTACTCTCTTCTTACTACCCTCTTCACCAACTCCCTAATTTCAATATCTTTAAGAAAGTCGATGTATTCTATCTTGTTATAGTGATCATGGGCCAGAGTAGTTTCATGCCTATATTTGTCAAAGTCTTCATGATTCTCAGCTAGTTTTTTTCTGCAGTCTTACCCTCTCAACCTTTAGCTCCTCTATCTAACCTCTACTGGCCAATATTTTCTTACAAATCTTAGTAACCTACATGCTAGCTTCTCTTTCTTCAATACTGTAGTATTGTTGACATCGATTTTTGATGTCACATGTGTGGGATGCCCCTTGAGCACGTCAGGGTCGTACTCTGTGCAAATGAGTTACATGTAACTCTAGACCTCCGTTCGAGACCCACCGGCATGTATTGAGGGGCACGTAGCCAGGGTCATTTCTGCTAGGCTTTGGCTTTCGAGCAGGTGAAGTCCAGTCAGCATTTGGTGCGTTAGACGACTCCGATCGGGTCAACGAATATTATACGTTGTGCACGCGTGAAATTGGCTTGAATTGCTCCAATCACTAGCGAGCTTATTCAGGTGACATCGGACGACGAAAAGGACCACGTGAGTGCGTTCAGAACATCGATTTCACTTAGGGAGGATGTTCATTTCGCTTCGGTCTCATTGGTACGCTAAAAATGCAAAATATCACTTTTCGCCCAAATTCCTTAAAAAAGTGGTCCGAATGACCTCAAACGGCGAAACTGACTGCACAATCGCGTACGGGACGTCGATTTTACTTAGGAGAACATTCATTTCGCTACGATGACGTGTTCAGCGAAAAAAAGTGCGGAGAGATATAATAATAATAATAATAATATTATTATTATTATATTAAAAAATAAAAAAAATAAAACATTTATTGAGGCGGACACTCATTTTCGCGAATCCCCTCGGCCGACCTCCCGGTTTTCGCGAAATCTCGGCGTCTTCCTTCTCTCGACGACGTCTACTTCAGTCGGCGAGCCACGCCGGCCTTCACCTCCGCGCCGGCATCTCCTCTCCCCCGCACGCGATACTCCCATGCCAAAGTTTCGCGAACCCTAGCCTGCGCCGTCGCGACTCGATTCACGTTCTTGCGCTCGAGGACCGCCGCCGACTCCTCGCCAGCGAAGCTTTCATCCTCCGACGCCCTCTTCCTTTCCGAGGCCGTCGTCCGGGCATTTTCTCTCGTACAACCGCGACCCCCCTTTCCAGTCACGCAATGCCGGAGAAGGCCATGTGCTGCTCGAAGAAGAGCAGTTGGAGGGGGGAGACTAATATAAAGCAACAGCTGCTAGCCCGCTTCACATGCCTCCATTGATTTCGCCCATCACTCTCTCCTCTCTCGGCCGCAGCTTTAGCTTTTCTTGCCCTATTCTTCATCAATCAAACACGAGGATGAAATCTACTGCAGGGTACCAAAGTTGCTAGATGGATGATGAGAAATCGCTATCTTTGTATAGAAAGGTGGCCGGTACGAGAATTTGTCGTGTCGCAGGTTTCTCAACTGAACTGCTTGAAGTAGAGTCTGAAGCGGCCACTTTGAATGTTGTCGTTATACCTGAGAATCCAGATGTTGTTTTTTTTTTACAAGGAATTTGTTGAGGCGCTCTATGAACAGCTTGGGGGTTGTGCATCTATAACAGATGAGTTCGTAGCATCAAATACTCATGCAAAACATCTGTGATTCATTATGAGATAAATTTGAGCCTGCCTCGATCCGAGGCAACTCCTCCCGTGAATTTGCGAGATTCGCCGTAAAGTGGACCTCCTTGCCCTCACGAACTCTATGTTTCTTCTCCCTCATTGCACGATTTGTTGCGAGGCACGTCGGTGCATGAATTGGACGTTGACGGCTTGGAGCAAGCAAAGAGAATGCGTCTGCTACCTTCACAGCGGTGAGATCCGTTAAACTCCTAGCTAGCCCTAGGTTTAGTGGTGTCTAGGCGTGTGGGTTTGATCGCCCACACGGGGTGCATGTACCGGCGTGGGTCGGCTCGACAACGTGCCTGATGATGGATCGTCGGTTTTTCTAGAGCTAGCTTTTAGGTTAGGACTTTTTGTGCGTGGCAAAACACCCTCTATTGAGCCGAGTGTCTCCCATTTGTTGTGAGGCTTAGCACAAATCCTGATGGGTCGGAGTCCCTCACTCCCCTTGCTTTGATTTCCTCAACTTTACTTGGAAAAGTTTGGAGGTCAGACTTGACAAAGCGAGAGAAGCTTTGTAGCTGTCTCGCTTTGCAAAGTCTGGAGGAGTTCGCGAAATGGGAAAAGCTTTGTAGCTAACCCATTTCGTGACATCGTGGAGAGTTTTTCCCCTCAGAGATCAGGGAGAAACTCCTCACATTTCCTCACCAAAGTAAAAGGCGGCGGCGCCGCATATCCAAGCGCGTCAGTCCTAGGTTTCCCAAGCAAGGTACGAGCATGGCTCACTATCATATGTGGTCGTTTTTACCTCATTATTTGCATGTGCATGTCTTGCATGTTACATATTGTATGTTATATATCACACTTCCATTCACACGTTGCACTTGCACTTGCACCTTGTATCTTGCACTTGCACCTGCACCATTTGTGCCTCGATCAGTTGTTCTGGATCGATTAGTTGTTCTGGATCGATTGACACCACTTGTGCCTCGGTCGGTTATCCTGAACCGGTCACATCACTTCTGTTTCAGCCGATTACCCCGACCTGGTTGGCACAAAACTTTGGTTTGGCCGGATGCACCATCCCGGTTGACCTACCAGTTACTCCTTTGCATGTTGTGTATGTGCATGTACATTTTTGTCTGCATGATCGATATCATCTATTTGAGTGCATTCTTTCGAGCTCCTGCCGCTAGGCATGCCCATTTCTTCAGGTCACTGCCTTACTGGCATACTCTCTTTTCGGGTTGTTACAGTCACGACATGCCCATCTTCGGGTCATTGTCTTACCACTATTGGGGGAACATGTTATGATTTCTGACCCTTTTGTTTGCATGTGTTATTTAGCTCCCTCACCTTTAAGGCATGACTCATGATACATTATTTGTATGTGAGTTTTCCCGATGATACTTGTTTTCATGCAGGATTGAGTTCTTTTCTTTTTTT